TTTGAGAGAGTAAATTATTTATGAATTATTTGTCTGCTTATAAGTTTTAGCAACAAATTCCTAAGGAAATGACATTTGCAATTTGGCTGCCAGCTGTTATTATGTGGGTGACTCCTGTTGTGTAGTTTTAATAAACCACACTTAATCCATCTAGGGGCTCGGCATTGGCAGTCTTGCCCACCCCTACTGCTAGCACTATATGACTCACTTGACCTGGTTCCCGAGGCTAGCTTGCTAAGCTAACCAAGCCAGTTTAACCTGAAATGCCTGGAAATACCACTTGTATTTCTCAGGCCATCCACTTCCTGTGGCTGGCCCACTGGATGTCAGCTATTGCTCACTCAGCTCCCCTTAGCCCCATGAAATGAAAACTCTAGAGACTTATACCAGCCAGATTTATAACAGTAAATCTCCAACCCCAAAATACCCGTTCAAAGAACACACAACTCAGTTAATATAAATACAAGCTGCACCCCTAGATTGGGCAAATATACCCTACACTACTCTATTGCCCAACTATGAAATCCATAGCTACTTGCAGCTGCTCCAGGCCACGTGGGTCTGCTCCATCTTCACCTTTTTCCTCTATTTTCTTCTTCTGTCCTCCATCCCATCTTCTGTCTCTTCCTTCTCTTCCTCCTTCTCTCCCTTCTCTAAAACTTTCAGCTCCGCCTTTTCTTCCATTGCCCAATCACAGGCTCTAGCCTTTATTTGACTAATTAAGATTCTGACATCACCTGAGTAGGCGATCTACTCCTCACAGAAAATACAAACAGCAAGACTCCCATTCAAGGAAATTATGAGAAACATGGAAGGAACAAGCATGCTTTGAAGATTTAACTTAGCATGAAGGAATACCTTATTTCAACACCTGTGAAAATTTTGACCAGATCATAAACTTCTGTTCAGTTATCTCACACTATTAAAAACATTGCTCTTAATATCTAATAGTATGTAGACTGACACAGATCTCAGACTTTAAAAAAGAATGCTGGCATTTTCCAAAAATTTTTCTTTTAAACTGTGTTTTAATGATTAAAGAAGAATTCAAGAAAATCTGTCTAGCTTTCAATATCTTTAAAATATTTCACTGTTTACACATGTTTGTCATAATATTTAATAGCTGCTATAGTTACAACCTTTTAATTATTGCTATCTCAATTCTAAAATTAATAAGCATATGTATAAAGAATGGTATTTTCTTTATTTTCTAGGCTGTTTACCTACTTTGTGGCTTAGTTCATCCTCAGGCAAGCTGCTGTCTGAGGCAATAACACTAAATTCACAGGAATTGTCTTCTGGAGATTCACAATTACTCAAATTCTAATAATGTGGATAAAGTCTGTGCTAAAATGATACTATTAATAGAGAAAATACTGTGTAAAAATATCCTTAGAAATCCCTTTAAGTAAGGCCTTATTTTGCATTGAAGAATAATACAGGTCAGAGTATGGAAATAGGCACTAATTCAACATTGTATACAATAAAATATTTATTTTAAAGCCTCTAAAAAGGAAACTGGTGGATATTGCCATCCCCTGTCCAAAAACTACAGTCTAAGTAAGAGTTTGGAAATTGTTACCCTGATATCACACCAACTTCCTCTTAGCTCTGAGTCATTATAATCTCCATGGAAAGAGTTGACACCTGACACCCAAGGTAGTGTAGAGGGCAAACACAATTTACTGCTGAAGAGGGTGAGGTATTCCACCTACTGAGCATGAACAAAGGTCAAGAGGCCATTGTGGAGGAAAGCTTCCTCAGGGATTAGGGTGACAATGTCCAGAGACCTTGTGCTGATCTACATGCTCAGGAAAACTTTGTCTGGAATAGCTTCTGGAATGGTGTTTCCAACTCTTAAGGTGTGTGTGTACATGAGTGTCTTAGTTAGTCTTGTTACTGCTGTGAACAGACACCATGACCAAGGCAACTCTTATAAGGACAACATTTAATTGGAGCTGGCTTACAGGTTCAGAGGTTCAGTCCATTATCACTAAGGCAGAACTTGGCAGCTTCCAGGCAGGCATGCTGAGAGCTCTACATCTTCATCTGAAGGCTGCTAGCAGAATACTGGCTTCCAGGCAGCTAGGATGAGGGACCTATAACCCATACCTACAGTGACACACCAACTTCCACAGTGCTACACCTACTAATAGTGCCACTCCCTGGAGCATATACAAACCATTAAATCTTACTTCCTGGACCCATAGGCTCGTCCAAATATATGAGTCTATGGGGGTCATACCTAAACATAGCATAATAAAACCATCACAATGGGTGAGGGTTTTACTGAGGCACAATACAAGAATTATATAGAAAGGCAGGTGAAATTATTCTGGAGTATAGCTGAAGTCTTTCACCAGCTTAGAGTTAAGGGTTCCAGCACAATTAACATTCACTGTGATGTTGCAAACATAGAAACAATAATCATTTATAAACTGTAAAAATAACAACAAAAACAAAACATTTAAAAGGAGTGCATAAGAGTTCCTTGGATATTCTCATTCCTTGATATTTTATGGAGTTCTTACAAACAAGACTTTTCTTTTAGGTAAAGATATCTTAATTTTCTGCATTCCTAGGTTGCTTTATATTGTCAATTGTAATCCTACTCAAGATGCCTCAGGAGCTCCCCCTCTAATCCCATTTCAATTCCTTAATGAGCCTTTAAAGATAACTGCAACCCGCCCGGAAATGTGTGGCTACTGTAAAGACAATGAAGTGTCTTCTCTCCTGAGAAGCCCACTACCATGGTCTCAGATGAGATTTACACACTCTCTGAGTCTCTATCATTTTTATTAAAGTCTATGCTTAAAATATCTGTGTAAATGCCTTTTAATACACTTCAAGTGGGCTTCACATTGGATCTTATGGAAGGGAAGGAAGACTGTTCTAACAGCCAGTTTTAGGGCAGCTAATGCATGCAACACAAGGAACTACATCTCAAAAGCAATCAGTTTACCAAGTGCGCTGCTGCTGTGATTTAATCTGGTAGTCAGTTTCTGTGACTGGTTGTAGTGGTTTGAATAAGAATAGCCTCCCCACCCTGTGTTTGAAGGTTTGGCCTTTAGGGAAGAGTACTATTAGGAGGTGTGACCTTAGATGGGTGTGGCTTTGCTGGAGGAGGTGCAGACTAGGGAGTGGGCTTTGAGGTCTAAGGATCAGATTTACTTACTGCACTCTGCAGACCCTGATGCAGAACTCTCAGCTACTCCAGCACGACGTCTTCCTGCATGCTGCAATGTTTCCCACCATGAAGATAATGTACTAAACCTCCAAAACTGTGAGCCAGTGCCAAATAAATGTTTTCTAAGAGTTGCCATGGTCATGGTCTAGTTCACACTAATAGAAACCCTCAGACACTGGTCACACACTGCACACAACTTTACTTCAGAATTCTCGTTATGATTTAGGATGAATTCCACACAGTGAAATTTCTGGACCTAAGGGGGTGAATGTTTTAAATAGTCTTGAAGCCTGCTGCCTATGTAGGTGGAAAACACACTGCTCTCATCTCAAAAGAACTAAGAGTTTAATCTGGAGCCAAATATGAGAGACCACGGCCTGAAAACAAAGACCCAGGCTATCCCAAATACCATGCCCCAACGTGATAACAATTTCATGAAACTTTTATACCCATGGGAGAAGATGGTCATAAACCAAGATACTTGCCAAACACAGACGATTCAGTTTAGAAGAGTGAGGCAAAATTGGGAGCTCCTCTCCCAGTCTGGTTGCTTATCTCCAGCAAAGAGAGAACAACACAATTAACGGATGCTTACCCCTTCCTAGTCATAAATCTGTTAATTTTCTAGGAATTTCACCAGAAACCCCATTTATAGGGAAATTATTAGGCTCCTTTAGCAACTGCATCGGTTCTTGGTTTCAATTTTATCACATTATAATTCTATCCAGGAATCTTTTTCTGTTTTTGTTTTTTCGAGACAGGGTTTCTCTGTATAGCCCTGGCTATCCTGGAACTCACTCTGTAGACCAGGCTGGCCTCAAACTCAGAAATCCTCCTGCCTCTGCCTCTCAAATGCTGGGATTAAAGGTGTGCGCCACCACCGCCCGGCTCCAGGAATATTTTGAGCCACTTAATATATATTGATTTTCAGGAAGACAGAAAAGAAAAAAGTCGATAACAACCTTTGAATATAACACCTGAGAGCCACTAAAATGAGCCACATTATTAACTCACTGGACAATGAGGTGGGTGGGGACATCCTCAGGACGCTCCTTTAACAACTCACACGGTCATGAGCATTGGGGTACAACTCTTACTGCACAGAATAATGTGAACTTCAGTACAAAATCAAAACCAGAGTAAACCAAGGCGGGTGTGTGTGGCGGTGTTTTCCCAGTGACAGAAATTTCTAAATGAAAACTCAGTAACAAAACGCGTGCAACTCTGCCAGAAATGTGCACCAACCGGCTCATCCTAACCCCAGGGAGGAAGTCTTATGGCTGCAAATCTAGCTTTGGGAACAAGGCCGCTCAAAACTGCGACGGTGCACATTCCTCCCCTTTAGAAAAGAAATCAGCCTGATGGAGGGGGAAAGGAAAACCGATTATTCGTAAGCCAGGCGCAATTTCTACTATTTCTAAACTTTCCAGTCTAGAAGACAGGTCACAAAACTAGCAAGCCTTCAGCCGAGCAACTTCCCTTCAGGGTGGAAAAAAAATCTGGGTTAGGGCGCATGCGTAGTGTTCCCATTTCAGGGTCCCAGCCCCTCCGTCCAGGGGCGAACTGCGCAGGCGCAGGCGCAGACTCCCCGGGTACCCGGCTCAGCTGATGCAGTTGTTGTCCTACCCCTCCCCCGCACCTCTCCCGGCTGCACTCAGGCCGGCGCTCGGCCCCGCCCCGGGACCGGGGACACGGTGACCCCGTCCTGCGGCCCGCCAGCGCCGGAGCATCCCGGGACCGCGCAGCACTCCGCTTGCCGGTGAGCGACCCGGGCCGTGGGGCCCACGTTCCCTGCCCGAGCGGTGAGGAAGGCCGCGGCGAGCCGGGTGCAGGGCTGTCCCCGCCGCGGGCCTTGGCTTGGATCCCGGGGCGGCTCGGGCGGCGCCAAGGCCCTTGATCTGAGCGGCCGAGTGGCTCTGGGGCTGGACAGTTCTAGTTGCAAGGTGGGTCGGATGTTAATTTCTTCCTGGGGGTTGGTTGGTTTGTGGTGCCCTTTGAAAGGCGCTCGTTTCCGTCCCTCTTGAGCCCCTCAGAACTAATCCCACGTCTGTACAAAAACAAGTGACACATCGCAGTTGCACGCGATGCTGAATTTATTTTTTCCCCCCAGTTTCTAGAGCACCTGAAAACTGTTTAGAATTCACAAGACCGCGATTTAAACATTGAGAGCCTGGGGAGGAGACGAAGGGGATCTAGCACTCCTTTTAAAAACCTCAAGTAAGTTTCCAAAGTGACAGTGGTTACACTTGTCAGTAGCCTTAAGAAAAGCTAAACAAGAAGGCCGGGATCAAAGTAACTGCTTACTCTGGTGTTTACCCAAAACTACTTTCAGCAGAATATCTCAAGGTTACTGTGGTCTGAGACCAGACCCACTTAGCTCTGCCCCCAGCCTTTTGCCATAAAGGCTCCCATTGCTAGGACACAGTTTCCACCCCTGTGTTGACACCACGTGTTTGTCTTAGGGCAGCTGATTCTAAACCACCCAGTGTACTCCACAGCTTCCAAGGTCACAATCTAAGAAAACAGTACTGATTAAAATTCACCCCTGTGCACCTGTGGCTGGCAATCGTTGGCTTGGCTCTGATGGGCTGTCATTGAGCCACATTAAGATACTATGTGTTTGGAAGTCACAGTCATTGATATTTCTGAGCTATGGTAGACAATGTGACCATAGAACTTCCGAAAGTATTTTTATCCATATTTTTTACCCGTTTTGTGTGTGACTCAAGTTTTTAAATTTAATATTGCAGTCTGCACCATGAGTGAGTTCAACAAACAGGATTCAAATTTTGAAAAGCAGATATGAATTTCCTTCATACGGGGTGACCCGAATTACTTAGTATCATTGTATTTATTAAGTGAAAAAAATTATTAAATTAAAAATAGTATCTGTGATTGTGTAGTTCATATCTAGAATCTGATAAGTGATATAACCATGGGAGACATGGAATCGCACCATTTAAAATTTTTGTTTGCCTTTTTTATTATTTTTTTCCTCAGAATATCAGCATGTTATAGTATGTGACTTTTCATGTTCTTCCCAGTCATGTACTTACAGGGTTTTATTGACAAAGTGACTAAAGCGTATGAATTTAAGTGAGTGAAATGAGTCACTTTGAAATTAGCTGGCTATATACATATCTGTTGTAATAAGCCAACAATTTCACCTTTAATGCCAACTGGTTTATAGTCAAAATATGTTTTTCTCTAAAAAAAAAAAGACTAAAAGCATATTTCTGTTCTGAAAACCCTAAGAAGGCCTAGTGTCTCTATCCGCACTGTAGACTTTTGCCAACTCTTACCATTTTAAACATTGTTACAAGTCTTACAGAATTTCATTTCATAATGTTTCCTTATAGAAGTACTTTCTGGATGCTAGAAAATGGCTTCCTTGTATCAAACATTACTTTGTTGACTATAATTTAATCCTACAGGTAATTTGCACTCACCTAACCCTGTAAATACCGTAGAGTCTGAGAGTATTTTTCCCCATGGAGTGTACTGTCAGATTTTTCCTTTTCCTTAGACATGGGGAAGTCTCTTTCTCACTTACCTTTGCACTCAAATAAAGAAGATGGTTATGACGGGGTCACGTCGACAGACAGTATGAGGAACGGATTGGTTAGCAGTGAAGTGCACAATGAAGACGGAAGAAACGGAGACGTCTCTCAGTTTCCATATGTGGAATTTACTGGACGAGATAGTGTCACTTGTCCCACTTGCCAAGGAACAGGAAGGATTCCTAGGGGTACGTGATGGCTGTCCTCTTAAAGAAGGTTTCCAAACATTTGCTCAAAGAATGTAAAAACTATAGTCTTAAGCACTCCTATTTTCAAAGATTTAAAGTTAAAGTTTACCAGTTTTGTTTAGTCAAACAATTAGTACCATTCCTAAAGCAGTAATAGAAATGACTTCAGCATATCTAGTCTTTTTTTTTTCCTTGTTTGTCTGTTGTGTAGCTTCTATGTACTGTAGTTTCCACTGAGGATTTTAGTCACTTTTGACGTCATTGGAAACCATATCACAGTCATTTTGCCATAGTGGATGTTAGTAGCTAAATGGTTCAGTAACTCCTTATCTAAACAATAGATTGTTTCTGGCCCAATATTTCTAAAAGAAAACTCATGGTGTGTGAAGAAAAGCAAGGTAGGGAAAAATGAGCCTGGGATTTGTCATGGAGAAGATGGAGAAATAGTCTATCCCTGCTATTTGTAGGGCACTTTAGTTGCTGTCACAGAAAGGTAAAACAGTGAGGTTGTATTGGGCTGCTCTTCTCTACTTGGTAGAAGTCTGTGGGTGACCCTGGAGAGACCCTAAAGAAGGACTAAGTGACTGCCTGGGGAATTCCAGAGTCTGTAAGAAGTGCCTTGAGTTAAGTGGGGTTTATTACATAGGCTACCAAATGGTGGTTTTATCTTTCTGGGGATAGTAACTGCTTACGAATAGAAGAAGTATTGTAGTTGAAGGAATTAATACACCACTGTGGAAAGATGGGAAGACGATTTCTGTCCATCCAGCCATGTGTCTGAAGTGTGGCCAGGAGGCTTTTCAGTAGCCTGGGTGTGGATTGTGGCAAGTAGATAAGCAAGGATCACTCCAAAGAGGTTTGTTGTTGTTGTTTGTTTGTTTTTGTTTTGTTGTTGTTTTTTGTTTTTCTGTCCAACAGTTTAAAAAATGAACTAACCATTTATTAAAATAGGCATAAAAAAAAATTGAATGCATGTGCCAGAAGTGAGATAATGAAGTCAGTTTCAGACATGTGTTTGAGGATGTTGGTTTGCATCAAAGTGAGTTTTTAATAGGCAGTTACAAGGGTCTGAATTGAAGAGCATAGTCATCGATGTATGCTGACACTTGAAGTGGAACTTAAGACCGGAACATTCTGCTTAGCCGTTTGGATAGAAGAAAAGGAAGAGACTTTAGCGTGAACTCTGGAACAGTGAAGCTGTTTGGGGAACAGTAGTAGAAGAGAGAGCAGCTAGATCTGGAGGCGGAAGTCTAACTGTGAAATCCTAGAAGATAAGTAGAGAGAGTGCAGGAAGCAGGAAGGAGAGCCGCTGCTGCTCATGCTGACACCAGTGAAGCTGTGGGGACAATGAAGCTCTTTGGTTTGGTGATGTGGAGGCCACTGAGATCTTTAAAAGAGTACTCTGAGTAGTTGTAAGAACATGTGTAGACAATGGCAGAGTGAAACCAAAATTTTTTTTGAACTCTTACATGTTAAAAAGGTAAGGGTAAATCAGGGAGTGGTGGCACACGCCTTTAATCCCAGCACTTGGGAGGCAGAGGCAAGGGGATTTCTGAGTTCAAGGCCAGTGTGGTCTACAGAGTGAGTTCCAGGACAGCCAGGGCTATACAGAGAAACTCTGTCTCGAAAAATGAAAAAAAAAAAAACAAAAACAAAAACAAAAAACCAGTGAGGGTAATGTAATATCTTAAAGGGAGAAAGGAGATTTGGGAGTTTTGCCCTAGAACATGAGAGACAAGAGATGGTCTCTTGTAAGATGAAGTGAATACTAGATATGTGCAGGCTGATAGAAGCGATCCATAGAGAGCATCCTGTTAAAATAGGAGACAGGTAGTTACTGGAGCAAAGAGATGGTACTTAGTGCATAAGTGCAGAGTAATGCCCCTGCAGAGGGCATAGGGAGCTTCTCAAGTCGGGCTGTAGGAGCAGGGAGATGGGTAGATACTGGTAAATCAAACTCTTGAGGCAGACGGTCTGTGACATAGAGGTCGTATGGAGCTGTCACACATATTGGCCAAAGGTAAAAGAGCTGGTCCTGTGACACATCTCTAAGTCACCAGCAGCATTGCCAAATAGCACCAAGTGGAAAAGTATCTGCTAGGCCTAAGGGACCAAGATGTTTCACAACGAATCTGTAGGAAAATGTCTATAAATTATTTCCATGAACTTATTTTGTGTCTAGAAAAGTTGGCAGGATAACAGAATCCCATGGAAAGCACTCTAGTAAATAAAGAGGAGATTTTGTACTTACTTGTGTGGTTGGTTTCAAAAGCAGAGTGCCGGGAGTATGGCTTCATCATTCCCTCCTCGTCATCCAGGAAAGGAGTGTGGGGTGCTGGTTCTGCTTCTTTCTTTGGGGCTCTGAGTTAAATGAACTTATCGTTCTTCCCTCTGCTTTCTGTCCTGTAACTTAATGTAAGATATCTGAGGAGTCCTGTCAGGGTCTGTTGGGGGCATTCTCTCCATATGCTATGTTATGAGTCATAATGAGGATGAAGGACGTGATCCTGAGAGCGTGAAGAGTGTTGGGTTTTGAAATTGTTGTTTTTGAGACTGTGAACTAGGAAATATGCTATAATTGCATCTTTAGGGCTTACTTGAAATTAGTGATTGCAGTTGAGAACAGTGAGCTCTTGAAAGCTTGAGATTTAGACCAACAGTTTTGGTCCAACTATTGAGGATGCAAGAATGGGCAGCAGCAGTATGTTTCTTCTACCCTCAGTGAGATTAGTCTGATGAATGGAAAACAACAGTGTGGTTGAGAGAAGCTCCTGTAAGTTCAGATCCCCTGAAAGCCAGGGCTTTTCAGGAATTTTTGTTTGTTTGTTTGTTTGTTTGTTTTGTTTTTGTTTTTGTTTTTTTAACCAGTGAATTAAAGGATAGTAGAGCCCTCATTATTTATACTATTTTTGGTTAATATGAGAACATGTAGTATCTTCTTCAAAACTGAATAATTTTTGAAAACATAACAGTTTACTAAAGGACTAAGAGAAGAATTCTGGTCTTTGGAAATGAGTTTCTAATAGAGCAGTACTATATTTTAGTTATTCATGCTAATACATTCTTAAACCTATATCTTTCAATTTAGGGCAAGAAAACCAACTGGTGGCATTAATTCCATATAGTGATCAGCGGTTACGACCAAGAAGAACGTAAGTGATTATCAGATTTCTTCTTTTGTTGTTTGTATATTTTTACTTTTAAATTTTATGTAAGTAATTACTCTAGTTAAGACATTTAAGAAGAAAAAATGTATCTGGTTGTTAAGTTTTGCCATCCTATGCCTCTGTGTTTAAACAGACAAACAAAAAGTTTCCTGATTGAGATGAGGATTTGAAAATACCATGTCATCTATATCTTCAGAAATCTGTTTTCTAAGAGTTCTAAAATTGTGGCAATATCACACACAGGCCATTTTCACCAGGCGTAGGTGATTCTGTGCTCTCACTAACTTCAGAATGATAATGACTGTTCTGAGCATAATGACCACAGAGACCTGAGCAGAGCTTAGCAGATACATAGATATCTTAAGAGAAGCAAAGGGAGTCTTGAATGAACCTAAGAGTCCTAATATAGAACGCAGGTGTTCTACCCCTGAAGAAGCCAAAACTCAGCACTTCTAGCAAATATTTTTGAGAATAGCTTGTTGCAATGAAAATAACAGAGATTGCAGAAAACCCACAATGGCTTTGAGAAGTTCAAAAGAGGCTGAGTATTCATGTGGGCCAAGCACATCTGGACCATCCCATTACTTGATGGTAGAACCATTTTCTGAAAATACAAAAGCCTTAGTTAAACATGAGCAACAGGAATATACAGTAAGGTAGAAGAACATGAACTCAGGAAAATACTGAAAATTGAAGGAGATACAAAAAGCAGATAGAAACTTAAATATATGTAAATTTTAAACTATAGAATACACAGTAGCTTTAGAGAGACATTGAAAGGTTTAGAAATCAGGCAACTGATGGGAGCATATGAAAACTGATCTCACAAGCCCCTTAAAATATCTAGAAAAGTTCTTGTTCTATAGAATTGGAAGTGTACAGTACAAGTAAGATACCCTAGAAAACACAAGGGAAGTGGAATAAACAGAAGGCATGTAAACACGGTCTGTCTTAGTCAGTGTTCTATTACTGTTAAAAGACACTATGGCTATGCCACTTCTTATGAAAGAACACATTTGATTGTTGCTGGCTTACAGTTTGGATTTCAGAGGTGTAGTCCCTTATCAGCATGGCGGGTGCATCACAGCACAGAGACAGGCATTGTGGTAGAGAAGTAGCTGAGAGTTCTACATCTGGATCCACAGACAGCAGGAAGAGAGACACACTAGGCCTGGCTTGGGCTTTTTGAAACCTCAAAGCCCCACCCCCAGTGACAGTTCTCTAGCAAGGCCACACTTCCTAATCCTTAAGTAGTATCATTTCTTACTCAAACCACCATACATATGTAATGAAAAGCTTCGAGGAAAATGACAGAAAATAAAGAAAACTAAATGTGTATGTAATTTCAACTCCTGCAGAAGCAACTAAGAGGTATAGGATTGAGTTGTAAATGTCCACTTGAGGGATACATGGCTAGAGAAAAAGAATCTCGTTCTATATACCAGAAAGAGACACTCACCTGGAGAGATGTTCTAGTGAAAATCCTGGACTTTGGAGGTTTCAAGAAGAAAAGTACTTTGAACATTAGTCAAGAGGCTCAATTAGTGAATAAGGGATAGAAGATCAAATTGGCTCACTACTTCTTGGCCACAATGCTTCAAATAAGCCGTTGAATAAAATATTGAGCGACCATGGAAGTCATCCCAGCATTGTGTAAACTTAAAGTGGCTTTTATTTTGAAACATACAGAGGTAAAAAGGTGAAGAGTTGGGCCAGATTTATAATCTCAGAGTAGAAAACCTTTTTAACAGCAGGGATTTAAAATCCTAGTGATTAAAAAACACACTGGACTCAATGAGGATAAATAAACATCTATAAGTTGAAACAAAACCTCATTTGAAATTGAAATACAAATGATAAGTCAAAAAGTAATATCTGCAGATGAGATCATGCAGAGGATTTACCCCCTTCTGTACAGATTGTCACGATTTCAAAAGAAAAAAGGCAGCTATCCTAAGGGAGATAGAAGCTTCGGAAAGTGCCTCCCAAGAACAAAGTGCAAATGACCTTTAAATGTAGGGAAATTTACTCCCTTCTTTTTCTTTAAAGAAATGCAAATTCAATCTACTTAGAGATATCATTACTATCAGATTGACAAAAGCCCAGAATTTTGTCAACATACTTGATTGAAACTACTGAGTGTAAGCAAGCACTCTCACGCCTTACTAGTGAATAAGCATTCTGTATTTTCTATCAAACCACATAGGATTCAGTCTTTTATTGAGGTTTGGTCTGTTGCTATGTATTGTAATGCTAAATCCTATATCTGAAGGTCTAGACCTACTAGTGACTTCTCAAGTTGACAGGCTTTTGTTGTGCAATCCCTTTCCTTGATATAAAACTGTTGGTTAAATAAAAATGGTTACAAGCCAGTTACTGGAGGTATTAGAGGATTTTCAGTGACCTGGCTGGGGAAAGATTGGGGAGCAGGAGGAAGGATGGGGTGGGGGCAGGGAAACTGCCATAAGGAGAGATGATGATGAGCATGTGGCCAGGAGAAACAGCAAGCACACAGTTGGAGAGGTAGCCAGGCCAGCAGTTAGAAGAGTAAATTAGGGGTTATGCCTCAGTAATTGTCAAAGCCAAATAAAACAACCATAGTGTGAGTCTCTTATATTTGTAAGCTAGTTGGGGATAAACTTAAGTTGATTGTACCGTCTTAGGCTCAGAAATTACATTTTTTGAAAAATTTATACTAAAGATAGTTATCAAATATAGTAAGATCAGCCAGGCATGATAGTACACACCTGTAATCCCAGAACCAGAAATCCCAAAAATGGATATAGGAAGATCTGAAGTTCAAGGCCATCCTCAGCTATATACCAAGTTTAAAATCTCTCTAGGCTTTCTAAGAAAGACCCTGAGCCCAGTAACACAAAGCAAAAAAGTGTGTGTGTGCACAGTTAAGTAAGTGAAACAACCTTATAAAGTATAGGAGATGTAGCAAAGTTAAGATCTTTGATCATAATGATTTTTAAATTCCTTTTGTGCCTATGGTGTTTTCTGCCTATGGGTGTACTGTAGGCATAACATATATGAATTATTGCTCATTGGTTACTTAGGGATTATAGCTATTAAGATTGAAGGAACTCCACAGTGAATGAGTAGGAAATGGCTGGTTTGCTCCACCCAGCAGCATGGACTCAGTGGTAGAATTTAGTGAAATACTGTTCATTTGCTTTAGTTCTTTTTATAAACCATTTTTCTTTTTCTTAGGAAGCTAAAATAACTAGAAAAATTATTAGGAAATTTAAACATATGTTATAAGGTAAATGCAGTTAACTAAATTGAGGCATAGGAAGTTTGGAGGGAGGAGAGCCTGGGCAAAAATGACAGGTCAGCAGGAAGGGGAAGAAAGGGGTAACTTAGAATGAAATAGGTCTTTGAAGAGCGCCATATGTTCAAGTGACCTGGAAATCTGAAACCATAGTTTTGTGTGTAACATTGGAGGAGCATACACACTTCAGGAGTTAAGCTAACAGGAAATGTAGGTTATTTATCTTTTTGCCTTATATGTGCCTAATACTGCCACTTGCCTCAGGTAAACAACACAGTACCATCTTCAATGCTAGCTTGATGAGTGTGAACAATATTTGTAAGACTAGGTAGATGAATCCTTGGTGAGTAGCTGTCAGGTTGCATCATGACAGGAAGTGAGGCTATCCAGAGCAAACCTTGCTACAATGAATCCAGAGGGAGGTGTGAATTCTGTTCAGAAAGGATCCTAAACGTGGTCCTAGTATAAAATCTGTATTGAAAATCAGTTCATTATAAGTAATGAATCAGTTCATTATAAGTAAATGGTTCATTATAAGTCTGAGATCTCATTGTTTTAAAATTGACAATTAAGCTCCTAACAAGATTATTTTAACCTTTAATAGTACCAACCTTATCTTAGAGTGAAAATTTGGTAAAATTAGATGTATTTTCTTGCTGGTATATGTGGTAAATTTCAAATGACAATAATTTCCTGAAATGTTGCTCTGTGTAGTTTTGGATGACACATATGTAAGGATTCTACTTTCTTTTTCAGAAAGCTATATGTGATGGCCTCTGTGTTTGTCTGCCTGCTCCTGTCTGGACTGGCTGTGTTTTTTCTTTTCCCTCGATCTATTGAGGTGAAGTATATTGGTGTAAAGTCAGCCTATGTCAGTTACGACTCTGAAAAGCGAACCATATATTTAAATATCACGGTAAGTGCACACTGCGCTGAAGGCCTTGACACCGTTCTTGTGTTACTCAACCACCCATTTACCCTGCTCAGAGAAGGAATGTTTGCTAATGACCCCTGCTGCTATATTTCCATGACTCTGCTGTGTTGATCCCATTACCATGTCTGGTTCTGCCAAAAATAGAGAGTAACCTCTTGTGGCAGTTGAGTATATTGGGAATCATTTAATATTTGAAAATGTCTTTTGTAGGAAAATCAAATAAACATTTTCTGGTTAAGGGAGAAAATATAGTCAATTGACTTTTCAACATTTGACTCCAAATAGTTAACAAGGTGTTTAACCGTTCATTCAAAGGATGTTATGAATACAATATTTTTGCTTTCTAACCTTTCATGAAAGAAAAATTCTGTCTGTCTTAACAGACTTTTACTTGATTCTATTTAAAGGTGAAGTTTATATCATGTCCTGATTATTTTAAGTTAGAACTTGTGAAAATGGCTGTGGGTTTACAACATAATGTGATTTTGAAAAAGAATTATATAGCCTTCCAACTTTAGAACTTTACAAATCTTCTCCCTACATTTACATACACATTAGCCTTTGACTGTGAAGAACATGGAATGCTAACCACTGTATTGGAAAGGGGAAGTGTGTAACCACCTGTGCCATCACAGTGGCTCGTGTCTTCAAGTTCAGAGTGGGCTGTGGTCTCTTTGGAAGAATTTTCATGAGTATCCCATTTCCTTTTAAATCCCAGTATATTTAAATGAGACTGCCTTATGTATTTTAAATAATTAAGCAAGGATTATCACAATTTTAGATATTTACTCATAATCAAATTAAGGAATACTGAACTTTAGGTTAGAAATAGGATTTCTGTTGAGATGAACAGTAGGCCTCACTAGAAGACACTGAAGGAAAAGACTCGAGATCATAAGTCAAAAGCTGAAGGTACCAGAATTGTATTATTCCTGCCCCTTCAGATAAGTGCTGTGCATTATGAGTGTTAATATGGACTGTCAGCTTGACAGGATCTAGAACCATCGTGGTGACAAGCTTCTGTGTATTGCTCTGAGTTACTTACTGTTTGTATTAGGTTGAGGTAGGCAGTCATATTTTATGAAATGAGTTCTTGAATGGAACCAGCAGTAGGAGAAGGCAAGCTAACAGCAGCATTCATCATTCAGTGTTTCTTAACTGAGGATATCCATTGTGACCAGCCTCCTCAAACATCTGCCAACATTCCCCACGCCCTCCATGTTAGACTGTATTTCTTTAAACTATAATAAAGCTGAAATACTGTCTTCTTTTCTTAAGTTGCTTTTTATCAAGTATTTGGTCATAGCAATGTACAAAATAATACTTCCATTTATAGTAACTAATTATGTGTGGGGATTCCCTGGACCAGACCAAACCAGAAACAAGCTCAGAGTCTCCTGTCCCATGACACCTATTATCCCACCTTGTAGGATTTCTACTGCAGTTCTGCAGAACAAGTCAGCTTAGGGCTCGTTAAACTAACTCACTTCTGACACTGACCAACTATCAGCAGCCTTCAGACCTCACAGGTTAGAGATTCAGTCCCAGCATCCTCCTCCCTATTTTACATGTCAGTTTCAGGTTCAGCCCTCCAAAAGTTCTGGTAGACTATCAGTTGGGAGTCTCATAACCTGATCCTATGTTTGGTTAACTTCTCTGAACAACTCATAAAACTCAAAGAAGCAATATACTTATATTTACTGGTTCCTTAAAAAAGGATATTATAAGGGCTACGGGCCTACAGACAGATGAAAAGATAGAGTGAAAGGCAGAGGGCACTGGCTTCTGTCCCCGTGGAACTGAGTGTGCCATCCTCCCAGCACAGGTTTTATCTATATGGCATTGGCCTCAGCTCTTTTGCAGCTTTTATGAAGCATTAGCTACATCGGCATGATTGAAGGATAGCCAACTGCAGATAGACAAAAATCGTAATCTAATGTCAGTGAGCTAAGAACTGTCAGCCAGGAACCAGTGTGTATCATAATGCCACAGTACCACTCACTGACACTCTGCTACTGAAATACTTAAATGTCTATTACTAGATCCTTGAAAACCCCAGGAATACAGAATGATTTTGACTCTTCTGTGAAAACTTAACTCTCAATAACATATACATGCAATTGCTAACATTGTATATATATCCCCCTATATTTAGACCTTTCTGTGTGTTATCAAGCAGTCTCATTTTTATGTCTGACAGATACACATGTGCTCTTGTACATTTCAGCTGAGATCACACTACATTTTTCTACATGAAAGACTTTTCATTGACTAATATCCAGAGTGATTTGATATAATAGTTGTGAATGTAAAGGATGTAAACCAAACTGGCCATGGTAGCGTATGTGTGTAATGCTATGACTAGAAGGGGCAGGACACAAGCTTGAAAGTAGAAGGCTGGGGCTGGAGAGATGGCTCAGCGGTTAAGAGCACTGACTGCTCTTCCAGAGGTCCTGAGTTCAATTCCCAGCAACCACATGGTGGCTCACAACCACCTGTAATGAGATCCGATGTCCTGTTTTAGTTTGAAGACAGCAGCAGTGTACTTATATAAAATTAACTAATTAATTAACTCATTAATTAATTAAAAAGAAGTAGTGACCAGCTACAAACTTGAAACTTTTTCTCTCTCCCTATTGATACAGTATAAATCTCTACTGGCATGTAGGGTAAAATGCCGGTTTCTTTGAAATAGGCTGCTAATGCCATTCGCTTGGTAATTGTTCTTGCCTACCATGCACAAGGGTCTGATTTAGTCTCTATAGTCTCACACAACCTGGCTTGGTGTTGCAGGCCTGGAACTGTATGTGGAGCTGGAGCTAGGAGAGGAAGTTCCAGGTCATCCTTAGCTACTTAGCGAGGTTAAAGCCTGCAGGAGTGTACGAAATACTGTCTGAAAAAAAAACAAACAATGGTTTTTCTTAAAAAAAAAAAAATTTGTTTTTTTAGGTACTGATTTATGTTGTTAGTAGAGACATGTATGTAATACATAAGAATTTAAATAAAAATTTTGAATGATTAGTTCAACTTTTGCTAAAACTATAAAATACATGTTTTAGCATTTACTTTTCCACAGTTTTATGTAATACATTTTCTGGGTCTTGAAAATTTTGAATTGCATGTTCACTATACACATAGTTCTCTATAAATGTTCTTTAATATTTTTGCTAATATTTTCTTTTCCCAATAAATGAGGCATAGTACAATTTATAATTTTGAGTTCATATTTGTGTGCCTATTTAAACATAATGTATATTTCCTGCCCCTTCCCTTTTTTTGCAGAATACACTAAATATAACAAATAATAACTATTATTCTGTTGAAGTTGAAAACATCACTGCTCAAGTTCAGTTTTCAAAAACAGTGATTGGGAAGGCACGCTTAAACAATACAACTAACATTGGCCCGCTTGACATGAAGCAGGTAAGCCCCGGTCAGGAGTGGGACTGAGTTCAGTGGCTCTTCTTCCTGTGTACTATAAAATGGAATGAGGTGGGGGTATCCTCAAACAGTTGACTCAGTGATGTGTCCCAGAGAAGTATAAACCAAAGTCACCAAAGGAAAGCTTTGTAACGTTGAAAACTGTAGACATATAGGTAACACATTTGGTGTCTCGGTCCTATCCTCTGTTGATATGTTTCTTTTGTTGTCTTTTGTTTTTGCTTTCAGATTGATTATACGGTACCCACAATTATTGCAGAGGAAATGAGTTACATGTAGTAAGTTTTGGATTTTAGTAACTTTGCCGTTTGTTTTCTTAATTCTTATAAGCTTATCAGTTAAAATGACAAAATTTTGCAGTGCTTGTCCTGTTCTCTAAACATGCTTCTCTGTATACAACCTACAGCATAGATAACATAGATAAATAGATAGGTAGATAGAGATCTATCCATACAATACATCTTTATTTCTAGCATTTTGTGTGTGTGTGTTGTGTGCATGCATATTTTTGTTATCATTTAGTGACTATATATTCATGGTGCTTTAATATAGGAGTACTGAAATTTCTAATGTGTAACAGTACTCTCCTATGGACTTGTACTTCTGAATATGTTGAATTTGTGAAGGTACACACACACACACACACACACACACCCATGCATTTGTGGAAGGCAGGATTGAAGTTGAATGTCTTCTATCAGTCTCTACCTTATTCTCTAAGGCAGATTCTGTGACTCAGAATCTAGAGCTCATTTATTTGGTGAGGCTGGCTGGCAGACAAGCCCCTGCTAGCCTGTTTCCAACCTCTAGTACTGGGTTTATGAGTACATCCTGCCATGCGTGGCTTTCTGCCTGAAGGCTTGGCATCCAGACTCAAGCCCTCATGCTTACACAGTGAGTGTTTTACCCCCTAAGCCATCTCCCTAGCATGACTTACATATTCTTAATAGTGTCTTAACAGGCACAGTAACATGGTCCATAGTCCCAGGTATTACATAGGCTGATGTGAGGAAAATTACTGAGGCCAACCTATGGAGATTTCATCTAGTTAAAAGCAAAATCACTATTCTGAGTCTCAATTAGGTTTAATAGAATTTTAAATTGATAATGTAATGACAGTGCTCTTTCTGTTTTAATTTTTTAACAGCGATTTCTGTACACTGCTCTCCATCAAAGTACACAACATAGTACTCATGATGCAGTAAGTATGGCCATGCTTGCAAAGATAGCTCTTGCTAAGAGTTTGTATTCATAGTGTCTAATAGAACATGGAAACCCACGAAAGCCATCTCAGCTTGGCCATTCGTCTTACAGGAGTGTTGTGTAAAATGTAGTGTTTTGGAATTTAGCTACCTAGAGTATGTTTGCTCAGAGCCACAGTTAAAGGCCTGCAGAGATTTTGGGAGCTCAGGCAAATGACAGGGTTAGCACAGAGAGGATGGGCACATAGCTATTCCTTTCTGCCCTAGTAAGTAAACTTACAGCAGTGAGGGGGAGTAATGCTTTGGGCTTAGAAATTGATTATTACTTGTGTACATAAAATATTATTGCTTATATTTGGTATTTTAGTCTTTGCCATTTAATTTTCCATTTTTCTATGAAGGGGGAACCATATGACTCTTTTTAAGCATGTAATAAACTTTAATTACATTTATATAATTTTTAATAAACATTTTACATATATATAAATATATATTATCTATATTGTATGAGCAGATAATTATTGGATAGGGTTTGCTAGGCTAGCATTTTTGAGTCTATTGGAGAAATACTTCATAAGAATCTCATATCTATAATGTCATCTTAATACCAAATGTTCAATAACTGATAATTATAATTCACAATAAGTAATTTTAGAGAATTAAATAACTTATGATATGTAAGTTCATATTTGGTTGGTATTATCCTCAAATAACCCTTTTGGAATAATTTTTATATAATGAATATTCTTTTGTCTGTTTCATTTTTAGAGTTACTGTAACAACAGCATACTTTGGACACTCTGAGCAGATATCTCAGGAGAGGTACCAGTATGTGGACTGTGGGAGGAACACGACTTACCAGTTGGCCCAGTCTGAGTATCTCAATGTCCTTCAGCCACAACAATAAACTCTAAAGGAGCTGTTGTTAGAGCCAAGGGTACACCAGAGAAGATATCGTCAGAACTGTCAGCGAGGAGGTACTGCCTAGAAGGACATCTTTAATTGAGCATGTCTAAAGTTGACACAAGGACATTGAGGGTTCAGCCAGCAGAATCTGGTCCTTATGCAGTTCCTGGACTGTCGTTTTTCTGTGTTGACAATTTGTTCCTACTAAGAGCTTTCCTCCATCCTAAGTTAAGTGATTGGCTTTCTTCTCACCTGTGTTCCCAAGGTGAAAAATTGAGACTTCTTAGAATACAATAAATAATTATATAAAAGTCATAGATTTAATCTATATATCTATTGATAATATAGTTCAGTCCTGAACATAATTTGAAAAATAACTTCTGATTTTTATATGAAATTACTCAAAGCCTATTATTCATGGAGAACTTTTAAAAACTGACCTGTTTTATAAATTCCCATTCTTACATGGTAGTCTTTCAACTCTATGATAACTTCGCTATTAGCTAAATGTTTTTAGCCTTTAATTTCTTGAAATTCTACTGATTTGCATGTTTTGTCTCATTTCTAGCTAATGGTTGCATAGTATTTATCAACCATAACAGTCTGCCAAATTCTGTTCTACAGTTTGTAAGAACCTCTCAGTATGTGTTTCATGTATAGCTTTGTGAACTTTCTGTGTGGTCTTCCAACATATCCCTTTAATGTACAGTATTGTAAATAAATTGCATGGCTTTTATACAACTTTGATAAATGTCAAATGAAGTGGTACAGATTAAGTAAAGCAAGTTGTTCATAAAAAAATAGTAGGAAAATGAATTTCAGAAACCTATAAAGTATCAGTAGGTCCCAGCTACATGTTGGATCTGGTATAAAATAGATGCACAATAAAACATTTTAATGTTCTACTTTTTATGTTGCTTTTTTTATGTTGCTTTTCACATTAATTATAGAGATGTTTTTCACTGCGATTAGGTATCATCATTTTTATGAATGTTTTAGGAAAGGAAATCATTTCCTGCTAGAAATTATTCAAGAAATCCTTTCATTGAACACTGGTGGCTACATCAAAATAAAACCTATAGTTTGCTTTAAAAAATTAATCATTATGCATGATACTTATTTGATGCTTCTAGCAGTTACGTTAAGCATTTATTTTTTAATTTTGTCTAATACTGTTTTCAAGGATGACGGATGTATTCATCTTGTTAGTTTATATTTTCAGTGTCATTTTAACAAGGTGTTTTCCTTATTCACTCAACAAATTTTAAGAACTCTTTAAAATACATTTTGTTTCCTTATATCAGAAGTTGGGTTTTCTTTTTCCCAAGTGTCTCTGTTAGTTGTGATGTGTATCTATTCATCAGGCTGGTCCTCAAGTATAAAGCATACATTTTAACCGCTTAATTCTGCCCTTTAAGCATTCTCCCATCTTTCCTTAGCGTTCATCCTGTATTCGACATGTGAGTGAACATTGTAATCATTCGTGTTTGATATGTGGCATTCCTTAGGCATTGCTGTGTTGCCTGCCCTTCTCCTTATACCCAGAGCATCCTTTACAGTCATTCACTTTCTAGTCAAGCTGGACTTTGTTTAAATTTTTCTCTTTCTGTGCTTCCTGGTCACCTCCATTCTTGAAGCTGCACAGTTGGCTGGCTGTGCTTACATTTTTCAAGTCAATCTCATGTCATTATCTGCATTCTCTCCTCTGTAAGTAACCGTCTGGGAGTCATCTCTGTTGTTTCCTTTGTTTGTTTTGTCTAGAAATGTCTAATCCTATTCCTCAAAAGTTACTGCTGTCTTTAGTTTGTCTACTCAACCTATCTTATATCTATCTGACCTGTAACTATATAGTTTCTTGTTTACTCAGTTAACTTTCATATTTTAGTCAAAATGTAAATAAAACTTTTTTATGATTTCCATTGTGCTTTTCCCCATCCTGGCTCCATGTAAGGAGTACAAAATCATCATCCCTCCATTACTTCAAAAATCACCCTTTACAGATGCCTCATATAAGTGTCACGTTCCATGTTTTTTCCGTGTGTATTTTAGTCTAGGAGAGCACTGTGTAAGAGAAGAAGTTTATTTTTTACTTTCTTCCAGAGTTCATGGACAAGGCCTACAGAGGCAGGACAGTATAGCGAACTTTGCTCCCTGTGATTCAGTTTCCAAATCTTTTCTTAACTATTTAAATTGAAATTTCTATCTAGTCTAGTTTTAATATCTGACTTTAATAACGTTTGAGTCATTTCAAAAACCAACCAACCAAAAACCCCTGGAATTGCAGCACATTATCTGTGACTCTTCAAGGAAAATCAAGTAACTCCTGGGTAAGCCAGGCTGGTAACAGCTGTAAGTTAATAAAACTCCAAGCAAAATGAACAACAACAACAAAATCTATATTTTGGAGATGCTGAACAGTAGCCATAAAAACATTTGGAAGTATGAATGAGGCTTTTCACTTTTCTTAGGTCAGTCTGAGTCTGGCGTAGCTGAGTCTGCCGTCTGGCAGGGAGAAAGGGTAGGTATTACTACATTTTTTAGGAGTACCACCAGAGCTTAGCCAGAGACATGATAAAGACATTCCCATGTTTCTCCATGCTCATAGACGTCAATTCCGTTCTACGCTAACCCAGCACTGCCCAGCCTGTGTGGATAGTGTGTGTACAACACACTGACTGTTGCTCTTCTGTCTGCTTTTCTTATGTACTTTCTCAACAGGACACTGAGAGGATTTGGGTTAAAAGTATATATTAGTAAATAATTTAATTGCAGCCAGAAGTTGTTTCTCTGTCTCTCATATCTGTGCCCTATCCATTTAAATGTCCACTGGAAAGTCCATGGTAACTCAGGTGAATACTATTAAAAATTGAAAAAGTGGCCAGCAAGATGGGTCAGTGGTTGAGGATGATTGACACCAAGCATGATGACCTGAGTTCAATCTCTGTACCCCACAGTAGAAGGAGAGAACTGGCATTGTCCTCGGATGCCATCACATACAATAAAGTACCACATATACAGTACACAAACACACACACAAATGCATGGATGTCCATTCACATACAG